AGAAAAATTTCCAGCTTTTCTTTAAAAACCCCTGATTTTTCCAGGCTTTTATCCAAATTTCCCTGATATTTCCAGGTTTTTTCCAGTATAAAAAAATTCCCTGATAATTCCAGGTTTTCAAGGTTTTCCAGGTGGGTGGCCACCCTGCGATGGCTGATGTTCCATTTTAGAAAGTACTGACAACTGCAACCATATTCTAAAGATGCAGTTCTGACTAGTGAAGCAATCATTCATGGGTAGTACATAGAATTGTGTTCATCATATTACATTTTTACGAAAACATTATTTTTCATAATTATTGTGAAGTGATTAAGTAATAATGTTGCACTGCAATGAAAGGATGGGATTAATTGAATTTCAGCGCCTGCTTGCTCAAACAAAATTTGTACTATTGTTTGTTGTATCTAAATTTGTTTGAGTTTTCATTTTCCCCTAACATTTTGAAATGCTGATTTGAAGTGATTTTTGAAATGATTGTGAAATGATTATTTTTTTTATTGAATTATATTTATAGAGATCAGACGAGAAATAAATAATGATGAAGCAAAAAAATAAAANCATGAATAGCTTCATGAAAAAATTAGTGGTTTATTATCCAGTGATTGGTACAAAAAGATCTACAAAATTAACTATTATTTTTATCTTGTTTGCTGTGAAAGAATAAATTAACAAAATGATCAAATTGTTGATTTAATGTATGTGACATTATTATCGAACGATAAATTTTTTGAGTCAGTGAGCTAAAAGTTTCTGAAAATTCTGGTAAACAACGCTAGATCGTGTTAATTGATCAAAATATATGTCCAGTCTTGAAATACCCATAACTGTGAGAAAGAATGTCAACTTATTGGTTCAGAAATGGTTAGTGTCAATATCAAAAATAACAGATAAATTTTATTTGAGACAGCTAAGTTTCAAAATTAAACATTGGTCTTTATAAATTAGTTCCCAGATTTTGTGTAAGAAAATAAATAATAAAAAAAAGAGAAATAAGTTATTAAATACACAAATAAGTAATTGAAATTTTCTTTAAATATAAATAAATATTTTTTTTAATTTTCTATGCGAATAATAAATAAATATTATAATAAATATTTATATTATATTATAAAATAAATATTTCCTCTATTTGTTTAATCTAACAAAATAAGTATATTTTAAACTGCTTTCTGTTTTTTCCTTTTCAAAGATAGGTTTCAAAATGGGCACATTTCTGCAAAGATCCCCCTCCTTCTATAATAAATATCTTGAGTTACTTTCTTTTTCTTTGATATGAAAATAGTGTAATCTTTTGTTTAATTGTTTCACATTAACTGTAAACATTATAATTGATTATGGGAAACTATATAAAATATTGCCCTCTACAGATGGGGTAATTATTGATCACTGGGGTAATTCCTGATCATTGTCATTTCTTTTTACAAATAGTATTAAATATAGCTAATAAATAGCTGATTGTCTTTTCTTAAATAATAATAGCTGATTGTCTTTTCTTAAATTCATATTTATTAAGTGGAACAACTATAAAATATATTTTAACTGTAATCACAAAATTTGTTTTTAACTGTATACAAGACAAATGTGTTCTGATTTGCACCATTTCTGATTTGTCTTACCTTGCTTCTATCCTAATTTTATGTGTGCGCATTGTTAGAATAATTTTTAAGTTTATAAATTAGCCGAATATAAATATGATGAGAAATTATAAGCCTAAAAAGGAAACTAAGCCTCTAGAAAGCAAAATTAGTGAATTTTTTTAAATGATTGAAAATGAAAATTTCAGTGTGTTATATTAAAAAATCAACACAAAAATATGGTAAAATAAGAAAATATTTTAAAAATTTTTCTCCACAAATAAAAATCATTTATGACTGGTAAATTTCTATATATATATTTGTCCCATATGTTCTAAAACAATTTTGCTATAGTAAAAGTTTGGGCTTAAAATTGCATCCAAATTTAGAAATCCATAAAAATCATTGTTCGTAGTCAAGTTTCAACTTGAATTTAATAAAAACATACTTTTAACAGTACTAGCACTAAAAGTTATCCTCATTATGAGAACATTTTAGACTAGGTCATGCAAAAAAGAATTTCGCAGAGAAAAAAGTTTAAAAATAATTTTAAAAAATAAAGGTCTATTGGAATAAAATTAGAATAATGTTTAAAATAATAATTCAAATTTCAACTTCCTGTAAACTTTACAGAGGGACAGCCTCGTCATTTCATTTTAAGAAACTCTGCGGAAAAAAAAGCTAGCTATAATATGGCGTAAAAGACCGGTTATGCTTACCACACCGCACTATCTGACCAAACACATGCTACATATTAGTAGAGCTCTTTTTCCTCAGAAAAGCATTCATAATAGCGATCAGCGGGAGGGTTCCATTTCAAATCGAAATGCGTAATTAACCCGGGGTTTATCGTTTTTACAGGAATACAACAACAAATTTTAAGAGGTCAGGTAGGAGAATCTTAGAACTTGCTTTTTTAAAAGTATTCCGTGAAACTACCATTTTTCCTTAAGTTGAATTTGTTAAGGTACCGTAATACGGTAGTAAATTTGCCCTAGTAAAACCCTGTAGAGACTGTTAAAATTCAACAGTTTCCAAAAGAAGTGGTAGCTATGCAATTAATAAAACAAATAATAAATTGTAACATAAACTTCATAAATAAGGATACACTTCAGCAGAAACTTTATACAAGGGTTGCATTGAATTGCTCAACTCTTCACACTTAGCCATTAGTTGATAAACGGACTGAAATTTAAAAGCCAGTCATTAAATTTGAAATTTAAAAACAAATAAACAGTTTTTTTTAAAGGCAAAAATTACCTTTATGTTGGCATCCACGGCATCACAAGTTTTACAAACAGAACTTTCATAGGTTTCCATACAAGCTAATGTCAGAGAGGAAAACTAGAAGGAAAAAAAAAGCATAAATTTTACTTGCAAAAAAAAACTATAAACTGGATATAATGCAAAAATAAAAATAGTTGTAGATAGTTTACACTTCTTAAAGCCTGAATTGCAGAAATTATTTTTTTGAACAATTCAGATCTTAACACAGGAAAAATCTATCATTGAAAAAATTCGTCCCAATCTAACATGTCTAAAGTAAAGTTAACACATAAGGTAGATAAAAATTATAAACAAAATTTGTTATTTAAATGAACATTTCTTATACACTTTTAAATGAATGGAATGATGAAATAGAATAATTGAGATTTAAAAAGTGAAATTTGTCCCTTTACAGCATCGAAGAAAAAAACTAGTATTTTCAGAAATAAAAAATTTGTATTTTATTTTTTTTTTGTCTTTTTTTCAATTCTTAAATTAACTAAAGAGAATTATTTAAATATTTTTAAAATATAGCTTATATATCTGTAAATTAGCCAAAAAAAATTTCTGTTTTTTTTTTTCTCTTGGTAGTAATTTTTTTTTCTTTCTTTTTTTACAAATCAGAGAGGAAAAATACTACTAGGCTGTCAAGTAGAATAAATATAAAATATTAGTTCCAGAATATTTTTGTTTAAAATTGAGTTGTTATAAAGCGCATTTTACACTGACTACAGTGTTTGATCACAAGGAGAAAAGGCCTCAAAGTATGATTTTTCTTAATAGTGTAAAAAATAACTCTACATGTTAATTAATGGAACCTAAATATTTTATAGAACACCTAAAGATTTTAAAACAACTCCAAGTATTTTTAGACACTGTATTTATTATGAGAATCAATGGTACTTGTGCAATACTCTGTCGACCATTTTCGGCAAAACCAAAAAAATAGTGCCAAAAAACCCAATTTTGCGCCATAAAAGAAAACAAAGTTATATTTATTCTTTTGAGGTTTTTCATAGTAGCTTTTTTTTTTTTGCTGTTACTGAAATATAATGAATTTAAAGTACTTTTTAGTTATTTTTTAAAAGATACTACATCACAATTATTTTCAATAGTATGTTCTCAAACATTGATTTTTTTGGACATAAAAAAAAAAAACATTATTTTGATTGCCATTAAATATGCAATAGTTACGAAGTCAAACAATTTGGCGGATTTGTAACAATTTTTCTGGTCAAGGGGATTTAACACAAGTACCGAATTATCATAGTTCCACTTATGCTGTATGTGTAATATTAGTGTATTCTATAAAATAAAAAATGCTCTTTAGGCAAAGAATGAAAAAAATCACGGTAAAGCTATTATTTGAAAGATGTTCATTCTGCAAAAATACAAATATTTTGAAGAAAACAAATTAAAGATTGCCATTAAAAGAATTTAATTCAACATATTTTAAAAAATTAAAAAAAATTAAGTTGTACAAAACAAAATTTAAATTTTTAAAATTAAAAAAACAAAACAAAAAATATAATAATACTTGTTGCTCCAAGATTTTGCTATCAAAAATAGTAATATCATAATCATTCCAACTCCAGATATGAAAAAAAAATCATTGTTTCTTTTACTGGTTTTCAGTTTACTATTTTATAGAATGTCAAAACATTTGTAAAGTCTGAATCTGAAAAAATGTAGTGAACTTACACTTTGTAACGTTTCACTC